AGGAAGGAAGGAAGGAAGGAAGGAAGGAAGGAAGGAAGGAAGGAAGGAAGGAAGGATACTACTTATATCTATCACAGATAGGGGCTATTAATCATTGGTAAAACACATGTTTTTCATGAAGAATGTCTCAAATTCAGTCTCAGGCATCTCCAAATAAAGCTGTGTTGAACTACTGTCAGTGTAAGATAAATGGGATATAAGTAGTATCCTTCCTTCCTTCCTTCCTTCCTTCCTTCATACTACTTATATCTATCACAGATAGGGGCTATTAATCATTGGTAAAACACATGTTTTTCATGAAGAATGTCTCAAATTCAGTCTCAGGCATCTCCAAATAAAGCTGTGTTGAACTACTGTCAGTGTAAGATAAATGGACTGACTTCAGATTAAGCATTTCCTATGTTAATAGATTCTAGTACTCAGATCTACTGATCTTTGTTTCTGAGTTCTTAACTTTTCTGCAGTATTTTTAATACTAGGAAAACTCTATAGTCATCTGTTAACATAAACAAACTCCCAGAGCAAGGGGTATGTATGAGGGGTATACTGAGTCAAACTGCAACTCTTTAGAGCAATTCTGTTGCTCTCCAGGATGAAGAATGCTTCCCACTGCAGTAACTAGAAAAGTGTCTGGACCGTTTTGAAATCTTATAAACAATTTTGCGCTTCAAAAGGCTATCAAAAAATAAAAGTAAGTAAGCCTTGCAAAGTGGGTGGCATATGAATAATATAAAATAAATAAAAGTGTGCCTGGAAAAAAAAGGCTATTTTGCTTTTGGTGTCCATGGATCAAAAACCCAGGATTGGAAAAATACAGTTAGGGAGAGGATGAATGATTAGAAGGCATGTATGTCAATCACATAGGAGAGTTTTCCATGAGCTTTGAGTGATGTTAATTTTATATCGGGCTTCACTGCATTCCTTTCTTTGCTGCTCATGAGTTTCACCTCATTTGAGGTGGAATCATTAAGAGGAATCATCTTTCTGCTTAGGTGCTTTCTTGGTTTCTTTTCACTGATTATCATCCTTCCGCCAAATCCTTATTCCACTTCTGCAGGCAATTTCCTAAAAGCCTTCTTTTTTATGCTATACCGCTCATTCTTGTCATGCTCCTTCCTCAAGAGGCTATCTTTCACTCACCCGCCTGGATTTTCTTAGAGACCCTAGTTGTATCAGCAATATTGTCTCTCTCTACTCCACTCCACTCCCCCCCCATCCCTGATATCCTCTCTCCATTTTGGCCCTAATTATTAAGTTTGATATGATTTTGAACCAGGCTCTCTGTTTATTTTGAAGGGCTGTGAAGGGCTTCATTAGGGCTGTGCGCATGTGTGTGTGCGCGTGTGCATGTATGTATGCATACAGGACTCAGCAACGTATTACAAAATTATACTTATATATTTCACTGTGTTTTCTGCGATGTATGGGACCCTTTTCTTATTTGTTGTGTTGCTTGTGTTGTTTTGACAGGTGGAACAGGTAGAGCATCTATTATCAATTAACTACGACTCAGAGGTTAGTTGCCCCCAGAAGTATCTTGCAGACAACTCGGTAAACTTAAAACAAACTGAAGGTGGTAGTTTCTTAGCTGTACTGCTCAAAGGAAGAACCAACAGGTCTGAGTAGGCACAGTTGTTAACAAATTGGGATTCTAGGTTGCAACGTTCTGCCTGCACTCCATGGTGCCTAATCTGTCTTGCACAAGTACTCTGATTATAGAAGCAGAAGAGAAACAATGTATCTTATATTAGCTCCTTTGAGCAACTATTAAGTAATAATATCAATAACAAGATAACATTAAAAAGTACAGCACCTTTATTTAACATCTAAAACTCAGCAAAGTGGGGGGGGATCTATTCATATAAAGCGCTGAAGCATCCATGCTCTCCCCTTTGCCTTCTCTTTCACAGCTTATTCTCTTTATTCTCTCCTCATCTCGACCAGGTGGTTGAGACAGCAAAACAGTGAAAAACAGCGAAGTGAAAGCACTGATTAATGTAACAGGTAACCTTTCCCAGAGGGCTAGGCTACTATTGAACAAAAAAATATCTGACATGTTAGAGATTAATTTTAAAAAGGCTGAACTTTAATGGAATGTTTTAAAAGTTTTGTTTAGAGCTGGAACGTGAGCCATATTTCAGCAGGCCTCTAGTTCATCCGTTGCCTTGGACATTTGGAAACAACCAGTAAACTTTCCAATTACTAAAAGAACACCCAACTCTGAGCAACTCCAAGCATGGAGACCCAATCCAGATTCGCAGCACTGGGGGTGGTTGGTAGCCTAAGGGTGCTCTCTCCACTTTTTAGTTTAACTCTTTGGCTTAATTTTAACATTTTGTAGTTTTAAGTTATACAGAGGTATATATGAATGCTTTTATAGTTTTTAATCTGTAATGCCACCTAGAATCATTTGTATAGTGAGATGGGTGGCATATATAAATTTGAAAAGTTAATTAATTAATTCATTCATTAATACAGTATAAATACCACCCAACTCAGCAGGTTTTTTCTCTCTCAGCAAGTGCAGAACTCTCCATGGTGCTGCAGCGGGCAAGAGTACCTAGGTTACTCACTGCATCACTCTCCAAACTCTGTAGAAATCAGTAAAACTTACCTCTCTCAATCCAGTGAGGTTCTTTTGGAAAGCTGAAATGAATTGCTCCTGAATGGTACTTCTGTCCTAACTTTCTTTCTTCTGAAAATCCAAAGACTGTACTGGATCCCTCCGTTTCTTTCCCCTTTATAAAGATGTGGCTTTTCTTTGTCTTGCGTCAAAGCTCTAGGAGGAAACCCCCACCATCTTTAGCTTTAGCCCCTGGAGCAGGCTATTTCCTGGCCCTCCTACGGTTTATGGTTTGTTTTGCAAACATTTAAAAAGAATCTTATCTCAAAGCCCACTCAGGAAGACTTGCCTGAAGTCATAGAGCTACCTGATATTTCTCCCATTTCAGCTGCTGCTGCAAATAATCAAGCTAGAAGACCTATTGGCGGATGGAATGTGATGAAGGTGCATTAACAACCACTAAACCTTAACTGCATGAATGCAGAACTATTCAATTCCATTCTTTTAAAAACAGCACATTTTTAATGTACGCTCTCATCAATGGGTGAGCTTAACAGTAAAATCCTATGCATGCATTTTCTGATGTAAGCCCCACTGAGTTCAGTGGATCTACTCACCAGGTAGTAAGTGTAAGACTGCAGCAAAATCAGACACTGGGACTTGGATCATGCCCTTATTTACTTATGCTCTCATATGTTATCAAGAACACAGTGGGTACAGCAAGACAGTGTGTATAAAGCAGCATGGTCCTGCTAATTTGGTTGTGTGAAGTGATCCTGAAGGAAAATGTAGATGAGAACAAGTGATTGCTTCTCTGATGGAGTGGCTAATGAGAGTTCCTATCAGCAGAAACAACAAAAAATATAATGTTCCCTCCTTCATTAGCATTAGCATCATCCTAAACAATATCTAGGGAAGGTTCTGCAGTACTGTAAGATAATAATCTGGATTTATTTTGAAGGTAACAAAACAGAAGAAATGTTCACAGTAGTTCCAATAGAGAGCTGCTTTGGGGGATTTCAGAAGAAGGCAGTCATTTCTGCTTCATTCTGATCCTTGAGCTCAGTACATACTGTAGAAGTTCAGGGGCTTCTTTAAATAACATTTCATCTTGTCCTGCTGTTATAGCAGCCCTTCCCCTTCTCTGTCTTGCCACTTTAACCGAGTCATGTAGCTAGTTAATTTTACTCCTGAATTTATTGGAGAATTGCATTAGAGCTGTGTGAATTTTCCAGGCTTAGCCCACCCTTGGCCTTTAAACGGGGTGCTAGGCGCAATATTCAAGAAACAGCAGTGGCGGCCAGGATAAAAACCTAAATTTGATTCCTTCAACATTTAAGTGTAATTAAAATCAAGTATATGATTATGCTCCATTTATGTACTTAATAATATTCTCCCTCTATCATACTGAACATTAAAATTTGCTAACAGCTTCTGGACCAAAGGCTTTCCAAGGGGTGCATGAACCTCCTGTGGCCCCTGCACACTGTGCCTCTCTGCTTTCAGTGTGTAATAAAGCCCCCCACTGGATCAAAAATCCCCTCCCCTCTAGCTTGTTCTGAGAGAGTCTCGCCCCTGAAATCCCAATATTGCACCTTTTGAGATTTATACAGGAGGAAAAGCCTTTAACCTATGGCATCTATTGAAGAAAACTACAGAGACGCCTTCGTGTATTTGCTTCTGGCTGAAGGGATGATTCAGCAGCCATTCTGGGAAAAACAACACCTTGGGCAGATTTAAAAAAAAAAAATTGCCAGCAAGTCAGGAGGGACCAAAATAACAACAACAACAACAACAATTAAGAAAAAAAAGAGATCTTCTTCCCTGCTCTAGCTGAAATTATTCAAAGAGAAGAGTGGAGCAGACAGTTTGAGCTTTCCTCCTATTGACAAGGCTTTGCTTTCTCCAGAGGACTTCTCTGAGTCATCTGAGGCCAGATTGGACTTGAGCCCAGCCCTTGTGATCACAAAGGCAGCAGAGGGCTGTCAGGATCCTCCACTGAGCTCAATGTGATGCTACAACCCCAAGGAACTGAATGTAGTCCTTCCAGTGTGTAACCACCTTAGATACCAAAACACAACTTTCCCAAATCCCTAAGGTACCCCCTGCTGAGCTGGCTTTCACAATCTGAGAGATCTGGCAGAATCACCTTTCTAGAACAGGGGTCTAGAACAGACAAGGGAGTGGGTATACCTATGCCCACTCTCTG